AAGTGATCATAATTACAAAAGCACACGTCTATAATATGAGAAAACGACATGCTTACTTCAAAAACCAATTTATTTAAAGTGATTTGAGCTTGTTTTCAAAGCTTGCTCGCATTGGCAATGAGACCTAGATTAGCGAACGTTGTCACGAGTCAATAGTATCCATGCGAATTACAAATGTGGGACTGTGGACTTATCCAAAATATTTACTTGATCTTATCGTCTTCTATTTGCTGATCTCCTCTTAATTTTCATGAGCAGTTTGTATAGTTTTCAATAATTACACGGAGTAGAAACAAAATAACTGAAAAAGGAAGATAAGAGACGGATCCTACGGGACAAGGGAGAGACTCGGATAGGACCTTGATGAAGAGGATCACAGACTAAAAGGTCAGACCCTGATCAACACTCTGAACACAACGGGGTGAAGGAACCGGTGGTGAAAGTGAATAGGATTCGCTCAATTTGCTCAAAAGGGTACACCTGAACCAGGTTTAAGGGGTGATACGAGGATATAGGATAGGTGAATGCATCAAGACAATTCAGCAGACAGGTGGTCCACGGATTGACTTCACTTATCTCTTTGACGATGTATAGTGTAGTGTTTATTGCAAGACTTACTGATCGTGTAGATTACGAGGCCGGCTAAACGTCTGCGAATGCACCGAGTCCACAGTCGGAAACTTGAAATTATCATGGATACTACGGACTCCGAACAAGGTGCTTTCATTGAGGTCCGCCTGACAATATGACCAAATTGTGAAAACAGCTCAAATCACTTCAATAAAAAGAAATGAGACTGCAACCATGCTAAAGAGTACACGATCTTGGTCTTAAGAAATTCGATCAAACTATTTGCTTTCGCCAAGGTAATGTCAATGTGCAGCTTCATCTGATAGATTTCTTACCAACATTAAATGCTTAGTCATATCGGCTCGCACCAGCCCCAAGAGTTCGGGGCTAGAAGGGATAGCATCGGCTCCTGTTTCCAAAGCAATGGTAAGTAGGTTGAGGGCTATTGACACCATGGCATCTCCGGGCCCAGAACCAGAAAAGTTGCCACCCCGCGGTACCAAATGGCTTGCCAGGTAGGTCATTAGATCGAGTACAGCCAAAAGACCATATGGTCGAGGCTGAGGATAAGAATGGGTAGGCAAGAGAGGAATTGGCTCAGGGACAGAGTCGACGATAATTGCACCTTCATCTGAAATACAAAAATATAATGGTTGAGCATTTAGAATAAATAAGACTCAAGAAATAATCTAAAAATGACAACTATATACATGCGATATGAGAGGAAACACCAACTTCCATTTTTTTCAAAATACCCAAAACAAGCCAAGGTAAATGCAAAATTTTGAGAAAAGGCTCCTCAAAGTGATATAATAAAGTTCAATCGTGAAAGTAAACCTACTCCTAGTAAACCCAAACAAGACAACTTTCGTGAGAATTAATATTTCTCGAAAAGTACATTAAACCATGTAAATGTCGGGTTCCATAAGAGGTCTAGAGCTCGCGATGCATTAAGTATTTAAATATAGCGTTCAACCTGAGTTTAGGAAAAAGTAGACGAGGTGTTTAGGTAGAAAAGGCAATGTTACAACTAAAAAGCAAATAAGAAAAATGTCTGTTTCGAAATTAAAGATGTGGTTATGTACAAGAACAAGTGATTTAAACGGATCTATATGGAAAATAAATAATATCCTATATATACCATAACAAGTTGAAGCTAAACCACTAGGACATAATTGACATTGAATAAACAGGAACAGATTTGCGAGGATGAGGACCCTACAAAGGAATGAACAATTAATCCTTCAGACAGACAAATGATATGCGACAGTGATAATGGCCATAAATAAATTGACAAAATAGACATAAAAATCTGTTTACGAATAAATAAACATCAAAGGCACAACATGAAAATGGATACTGAAAGAGCAGAATAGATCGCAGACTCAACACGAAATCACTTGTAAGACAACCGAAAGAAGGGCCTCATACGGAAAAAAAACAAAAAAAGGAAGATTATGGGAGCTATTGACATAGTTAGGGAAAGAAATTTAATGAACAGGAGTTTGGAAAAAGGCAGTTAGCGAAAATTTTGCCCACTACCTAAGCAAACTCGGGGAAAACAAGGGTACAGCAGGACCGGCAAAAAGGAGACGCTTGGATCAAGGGCTCAACGTTAATCAGAAAAAAAGAGATTGCAAGGAAGAACGGAAAGAGGAAGTTCAGAAAATCAAGGGAAGACGTCCGTGAGTTTAGTCTGCTTGAAGAAACAATTATAACTTTGGGGGTCTGGCGGTCACAAGAAAAGGAAGACGGATAAAAACAGCTGTCAGAGAAATTCGGCTTTATAGCCAAATTGATTTGAAATCCACTCGAAATGTTGCAAGCTACCAGAAGTTGACGTCCACAGTTTGCTCAGAGTAAACGAGTTGAATCAAGGAGATACGTGAAGACAATGCTTGATATCTCTAAGCATGAGAATTAGAGATTAAGCGCTATGTTCGGTAATGCGAAGGTGTGGGGTCTACGGAAAGTTTGAGAAATATCTTTTGGAGCACCTTACATTACGCGGCAAGGCTCTCCATTTAGAAGAGAAAGCTGGTTGGAAGAAATTTGTAATGTGATCTCATCGGAAGCCGAAGGAGGATTTCCGCGTAGGTAAGACTGTTGAACTGTGCCTAGAAGTACTTATGCTACACATCCTGCGACCTCGGTGAAACTGTGCTAAGCTTTCGTCTATACTGTGATAAACATCATCCGAACAGGTATTCAAACTTTAAGAAATAGAGCAAAAATATACTAAACCAAGAAGAAAGGTGGCCGGCTGCAACCATAGTCACTTTTTTTATACGCCTAACTTCGCGATCTTAATGAAGCATCCCATGATTTGGTTGGCTATTCCAAATGCTTGCAAATTAGTTACTTTCCAAATCTGATGCAGCCGTCCCCTTATGGTAAGGTAGACCTAAGAATCTCTTCTTCATGCATTTTCATACAGAATGAAACCCCCTCCAACAATTTTATCTCAGAAGATTAATCGAAACCCAGTTTCTCTTCGTAAGTGGACCAAGCCAGGCTATAAAATGTAGGTAGGATTGCAGCCGGCCACCTTTTCATGTGTTTGTGTTTAGTTAATTATAGTAAGGTATGATGATATTCATCATATGACGGACTATAGCTCAACAAGGATTCATCGGAGTCGCAGACTGGTGGGCAAAAATATACAATCACAGCTCCAAGGCAATCCTCCTACAGCTGCCGGTGAGGCCAACTTACGGATCCCTTCCACTCACCTCTTTAAATGAAAT